TATTATTATTATTATTATTATTATTATTATTATTATTATTATTATTGTTTATATCAGCGCTAAGCGTTTAAGTGATATTTTGACATATTCTCTGATTAGATGGTCAATTTGTAAGAATTGTCTGCCTCACACGATCCACCAAATCGTAAGTCTCGCTGTGGTACTAAAGCGACCCTGTCCAAATGGGATGTGCAACTGTCATGCGAGGCAAGGCTAGACGAGGGCGTGAAAAGCTCACCCAACCGGCATTCTTTCAGCTACCACTAGCTCTATTACTACTCATTGCACTAAAAGTAGTGCCATGCAGTGTAGGGACAAGTACCAATCTGGCATTTGCACTGCGGTCAGAGGGGGGAGGGGGGGTGAGGAGTCGTTTTTAGAAGATAAGCCAACTGGCACCCTTCGGTAGGACGAGGTGTGCCAGCCGAAATGAGCGAATGCGATTGAGGACCTTTTCATAGCCTCGCAGAATACATGCACGTTTTGTCGATCACATTCAACTTGACTAAATGACTTTTCTGATTATTCGCCGTTGCGAGTTAAACTTGTTCCTTTTCTTTTGATTCATTTCAGAGCCACTCGTTTCGGACCATCACAAGTGAGTTGTCTCGTCTTTCAAGTTCACTCTGTTTGACTCTTTTAACATGCGGCAAGTCTAAAAGGGTTCAAGCGACGTCGGCTGATTCGTCTTTCTATTGTTCTGCTTTCTCTCTCTCTTTCTCTTTCTCTCTCTCTCTCTCTCTCGAATTCTATTTACTTGCGCGAATATGCGTCCTCGATGAACCGCTTGATCCGATCCAGTCCGTCCTCTCGCGAAAACATGACCGAAAATACGCGTCTTTCTGTCGCTCCTTCAGACTGCCTGTGCACCGACCGGCTTGAAGAAAGGTTTTGCTTCCGATTCTTGCCGTCAAGTCCCGCAAAAGCCAACAAATAGGCCTTGGAGACTGTTGCCTCGGTCAAGACCGAACTCATCCTGGGGACTTCAAAGTGCGTGTGTGTGCACTAATCGAAATGGGAGCGCCAATTGCCAATTGGCGTAGATGAGAGGAGAGTGAGGAATAGAGAGTGAATAGTAAATCATAGAATTTGTAGAGCGAAGACTGAAGATGGTAGAGGTAATGGTAGAGCATGAAATGTGGGGACTAATGAGGGAAGAATGAAAAGTAAAGTGAGAAGAAGACAGAGTGAAGATTGAATAGTGAAGCATTAAGCGTTGGTTGAACTTACATTTTGCATGAAAGTGTATAAAGAAGAAATTGGAAGGTCAATATCACCTGAAGAGGAGGTCGGAATTAGGTTGTACTGCAGCTGTTTGGCATCTCCACGACGTTCAGTTTGACGCAGTTCACGAGACTGAATGGTGTTAA